CAATTAAAATTGGTCGTTCACGTCATGATGTCTGTGGGGCATTGCTGTGTGGAAACTGGCAACCACGTTCACCCACAAAATACAGTCATTTTCTGTATACCCTGCAAAGTGTTTGAGACATCTCCTGACACGAAAGGTGTTATACCAATTATAAGCATTAAAATTATTGGCACTGCAACATAAAGGAGACTTAAAATAAGATCTACGGGATGTCAGCATTGAATGGTAGGCCTTACCACTTTACACATATCTCAGTTACACCTGCATAGAGCTGGTGCCAGAGGGGAAGCAGTGCTTGGGCATTGAAATAGAAATCCTCATAGCTACAATATTACAGGGTATGAGGGAGACTTAAGAAAGGGGAGATTATACCTTAAAAAGGGAGTCCAAAAGATAAATCTAACATGCATAAAATTATTTAGTCAAATTGAATTCATAACCAATCTTAAGTATCAAAGATTTAAACCACTTACATTGTATAGAATGGGAAACTACCACTATTTAAATGGATTCAGTTAACTTGAATGAAAAAGAAACCATCATCTGATAATAATCCCTCAAAAAAAATAATAAATTGGTCACTTCAATCCACAACTGTTTGTAGGACACTGCTGTGAGCTACTGACTGCCGCGTTTCGCCCACAAAATATACAGTCAATTCACTTTACAGTATATTCTGTGAAGCGCTTTGAGACATCTAGAAGATGTGAAAAGCGCTATATCAAATGCAAGGATGATTATTATTATGTTATTATCACACTAATAAAATTGGAATAGTAAAGTAGCATTCTTTTTCATACCTTGTGTTTTTTTGTGTTCCAGCCTTTGGCACAACTGTCAATATTGAGCATTCCCAAATTAAGTATATCCTAGGCTAAGATCAGAGAGAGGCTAAGGCGAAGATCTCTCCTCTTCCCTGAGCTTAATCCCAGTTTTAGTGGAACACACCCTGCTGCATTATTGAACTCCACTTCTCATTCCAAAGAATTACTTTCCCTCAGAAAGAAATCCTTCACATTTTGGCACAAATTGGCACTAAGCTAGCAGTTTTAGGCTGTGGAACCACATCAGCTGGAAAAAGAGTTTAGATTGAATTGAATTTCATTTTCAGGGCCTTTATAACTGATTTGCGGCAGTTTCATCAAAACAGCCTGGATTCCATTGGTGTAAGGATAGCCTGCTAACCTGTTGTACCATCCGGTTCCTCCCGACAATAGACATATTAAAGGCAATTTTCCCCCAATTATTGCTGATAGAAAAGAATGTGGACTCAATAAGCAATCAAACGATTGGTACAGAGTAAAAGTTCAATTCCAGGCAGAGGGCGAAACCTTGGGCAAGTTTCCTTACTCCACACGCCTAATAATAATCCCTCCAAAACCAAAAACAATAATAAATTGGTCATTTTCAATCCACGACTGTTTGTGGGACATTGCTGTGCGCGATTGGCTGCCGCGTTCGCCCACAAATATACAGTCAATTCACTTTACAGTGTGTTCTGTGAAGCGCTTTGGGACGTCCTCCCGACGTGAAAAGCGCTATATCAAATGCAAGGATTATTATTATTATTAAAAGAACGTAAACATCAGCTGATTTTACAGATTTTAATGGTTTTCCCTTTTTTAGTGCTCGTCATTGCTGCATTTGCAGTATAATATTGCGGCATTTTTTAATTGATATTTAGCACAAATTGAATGTTCTTCCTAAACTAATTTTCTAAATAACCTCAGTCCCTTACAAGTTTGTGCTAACCTCAAGAAGTCTAATTTAAGGTCACAATTCAGTTTTTCTGGCGAAATAAATGGGTCATACATTGGTTTCATATCATATACCAAAGGAAACTAAGGGTCAAAGTGAAGAATTAAATCTCATCAGTTTCTTTATAAATTGAGATAACCTCTTAAAGTATTTTCGGGATTGTAATTACCAAACCCAATTGCTACTGGGATACAAAGGCATCAATTACACTAAAAATCATTAATAGTTCTTGTAAAACAGAAAATTAGTTAACAATTAAACATGATCAAACTAACAAATTCTTAGACTCCAGGTCTTTGACATGCAAGATTTTCTCAAGTACATAAGCTGCAATATGCATATTTAGATTACAGTTTGCTCATTTGCAAACATCGCAAATAAATATTCAGTGGTTTTGTACAGTTTATCCAATTCTAATGGAATCATAATAGGGGATGAAAAAAATACAAATCTACACTTTGTACAGGGAACAATACTACATGAAAAGTGCCCATTTAGGAAATGCTGCAATAATCTACCAATATAGGTTTTAAACTCTGACAGCTAATGATTTCTTATTAAAAAAATATTTAAAATCTCTCCCATCTGAGGCAGGAAAACACATATTTGGAAAGTTTGAACAACATTTTAAGAGTATGAGCACAGATCCATTATTTCAATATCAAGATCTTTGCCAATTTGTGACTTGGGAATTCATTTCTACGTGGTTTGCAATTAACAATAATAATCTTATCAATAGAAACCAAGGGAATCCTGCAGCTTTGAGTTAAGCAAGTTTTTGCTCACAATACAAAATGCATATTCATAATTCAATTAAACTGGACAACATGCATGTTACCTCTGAAGATTTCAGCAGCATTCTTGCATCAAGAATAAAATTGAGGAATTCAAAGACTGAATTTCAAAAATGTTAGAGTATATGTATAAAATGTTATATATGGATATGTACATTTTGAAAGCGAAATAGCCTTGCACCGAAAAAGTTGATATTTGTGTTCAATTGTAGTGCTACATTTGGCCGCACTTACTTCCCAATTTCAATCTTGCACATTAAGACTATTAAAAACTGCAGTTTAGCGAACAGGAAAATAGATTATCTTATGAGAGCCTTGAATAAGGCCTAAGTGGACTCATTGTAATGCAATCTTCCCAATCCAGTGATTGACTGGAAATTACAATTTGCTTTTATATCAGATATAAAGCATTGTCTAGAATTAAAGATAAAAGAGGATTCAATTTCCGTAACATGTATAATCATTCACAGTTTAACTGAAATAAAAACTGCTTTCAAGTTTATGACCAGGCATTAGATTGCACTGAATATAGAGCACATCAAGATATAGCCCTTATACTAGTTATGATCATATCTTAACCAGTATCTTAACAGATGCAAACTTACTGAAGTCGAATTTTCTTGCCAGATAGCTCAAGTGGTAGAATACCAAACTCCCAGTCAGAAGACATTTCAAATGTTAGTATTTGACCTCTGCTACCCTCTTATGGACGAGTTTTGCTAAATGTCAGTAAGGCAGTTTCACAGAGTACTTTGTGATGGTGGAGCATTCCATTCTAAAAATTGAATGATTTCTTCCCTCTCATCTCCTGAAGGCACAGACTCTTATATATGGTCCCAGAGACATTGGTAACCTTCAGTACTATTTCTTCACATGTGAGGCAACACAACTGAATCCTGTCCAATTCACATCCTATGCCCAAGAGGCACAGCAAGTTCTAGACAAGTTGGGAGAAGGAATCCAATATGATGTTTCCCCTCTTAGCACAGTAGCATTAATGCCAACTGCTGAAATTTAACTGTTGCACTGACTGAGATCAGCTAACTCAGCACAGATTGGAAATCAAACCTACAACCTTCTAGCTTGTATTGTACAACTTGTGTCGTTTCTCCACAAAGCCATCAGGAGATCTCAAAACAGAAATACACTATGTCGCACGTTACCCAACACATAGACACATCTAGTGTCACACTGACCATCTATAAAAAGTCCCCCAAGTAATGCATCCAAATCTTCCCAACTAGAAATAAGCATCGGAGACAGGGAAGACATCAAAAAAAGGCAGATACTCTCGGACAGTTTTCTTATTCTACGGATAGGATTTGACCATATGAAAACCTATAGTGGCACCATAAAGCATTCTAGACATTGAAGGGAGGCTTTGGATTCTTACAATAGTTATGTCCCACAAAATTGAAGATGCACAAAATATTACATTAAAAACCAATCTTTTTATAGTTAATGTTTCCACAAGCTTCAACTCTAAAAGGCTGTGGAAACATGAAATAGGTTTTGGTCAGGGTATGCATTTTTGAGTGGATATGTACCTTTGTCTGCTGGCTTGGATTTCAAGCTGGAAAACAACAAAGGCATATCTCTATTTTTTGAATTGTGGACAATAAAAATTTTAACCTTGGGTCACTGATTTACAAATAAAGTCCATCTCAAAGTATACAGTACTGTCAGCATTATAAGAGCAGAATTAGAGCAGTATCATAACTTAGGAAGACATCCAAGAAACTAATCAAATTTCCATGCCGTTAACTTCTTGACAAAGACTTTATGTAGCTGTAGAAACAACTATAGCTTCACACAGAAGCACATGGTGTAAATGCTTCTTTAATTAAATACACCTAATGGTTTAACAAGACGAAGAATTACATGCGTCTCAAATAATGATGTACATCTGCACAATTTTCCACTTTCAAGAACTAAGACCAATCATTGACAGCTCAAAACAATGTCAGAATTAGATTAAATCAGCCTAATAATTGGATTCTGATACGTGGAAATATTACTGCATCCTACATAACCATGCTTCAAATTTAGAATTATTCATTTAAAGCTTTTAGACATTACAGGTTTCAAAAATATGGGAAGAGTTAATAATAAAAGTAATTTTGGACCAGCAACTTCTTCATGGTAGCCTTCTGTGCCACTCAGGGAATCGGTTTGGAAGTGTATCTAGCTGCAAAGTAAGATTACGGCTTTTTCTCACTCCCCACCACCTTAACCTTTAACCATTCTATCATAACACTGCACTCCATCTAGTGGTCTAATCAAGAAATTGTCCTGGAGCATTTTTCGTTCAACTTGGCTGCTAATCGCTAAATTCCAGTGGCAAATACAGTTTGCCCTCACTAGGAATACTTGAAATGGCAACAGGTTCCGAAATTGCAATGCCACAACATCCAAAGCATACCAACACTCAAGTTTAAAGCAAGGCGTTGATGTAAAATACAACTTAAGTTTTTTTTCTCTAACAATTCTTTGATACAATAAAAATAAAACTATTGTATAGTCAATTTTTAAGTATTGACATAAAATTGCATGATATAACGCAATGATGAAAAAGTGCTTTGTGGAAGCACTGAAATCATTTAAAGTTCTTTCCCTAGAATTCAAAAGTGATCAATATTTAAAATATCTAATTTATTAGCAGCGTTTGATTGCCATCATGGGAAACACAATTTTCCAAATAAAACAAGACTTCACAGAAAAAAAATCATTCAAAAAAAGGCAATATGGAAAAACAAATCCCAGTATCAAGACCTGTAACAGTAAATCTTGAGAAAGAATTCTCTTCATTGACGAACACTCAAGTCTATAATTACCAGTTCAGTTATGTGCAGGAGATACCCCTCACAACTGCATCTTCCTAAGCATGTCCACTGATACCGGTGGGTGGAAGTTGATGGTATGATGACGAAGTCCATGGGCAGTTTTGTAGCTTTTTCCACAACGGCACTTGAAAGGCTTTCGAACACGGGTTTGAGTGCGATGACCATTCTTGGCGTGGTACTTAATCCCGTTCACATTCTAACAGAAATAGAGAATGCTTAGAATTACCTCAGTGAATGTTCTCAAGTTATACATTTCTAAAATAGATTTTTTAAAATTGTATTGTGTAACCTTTCCAAGAGAAACACAGCAATTAAGTACTTGAATTTAGATACTGCTATTGCATTAAAATTGAAGGTTATTACAATGCCATTAAGGAGCTGAAATTTCTGTACCGCCTTGGTTTTCACTGGAGATATTATGGGGTTGAATGATGTGGCTGTTGTAATTTAGAATTTGGCATTTCAAACATCTGCTCATTTTACATTTTAAAACCATAGGCAAATAGTGTATATAGCTTTCAGAGACTTCTATTAATTACAAGTTTACAACAAAAGGCTTTTACGATTCTAGGGCTATAAAGCTCCATTACAGGCCTAAACACTGATTAAGTAGAAGCTACCAGTACTGCGAATTCACTCAAGTATGCTTTAAAATAACCAAGTAGACTGAATAAGAATTTAGTTGATCTATTTTGATGTTGCTTTAATAAGACTGTAAATCTGTCTGAAAGTTGATGTTGGTGTACACCTAAACTATTAAGGTTTCAAAATTCACATGTGTAACATTTTCCTTTCCCATTCCAAAAGACATGTTAATGTTTAAGACCTTACGTCATCTTTCAGCACTTAACACACATTGGAGCAATGTTCACCTACTTACATCATTAGTTGGAATTTAAAACATTAGATTCCAACAAAGTATGAATCTGGGTTATTGCCTTAAAAGCTACATTAACAGTAATTTTCAGACTTCATAACTTGATACACAATTGAATCTACTCCATTTATTTAAATGGATAAATAGTTTTCTGTATCATTCTTTCTAGGTATGTTTTGTGTTGAACATATTTAACGAGCAGTAACCCTGTCAACTCTACAACACAGGGTTCTAATAGATTTAACTGCAATGGTGGGTGGGCTAAGCTTTACCCTGTAATTGTCATTAAATACTTGGAATTCTAAGCACCCCTTAACAATTATACTGTCAAGGAACCAGACAAGAAGATCAACTTTCTCTGCTGTCCAGTGAGGTGTTCCAATTAACAAAGATGCAAAGAAAAATGGAAGAGGTTCTGATTTCCTTACTCTCGTACAAAACTATATATTTAGACATGAACAGGAAAGCAGTACAGGTTAATTTGGAAATTAATTCAGAAAAAGTTTAACAAAATATCAATCAAGAATATTAGTGATTAAATGTCCGAGTAAGAGTGCTGAATTTACATCACTAGATAAAATACAAAATTTGGGCACGATAGAGATTTTTTTCTAACTTGTTTAGATGAAGTCAATTGTTCAAGTACACTACATTCAGTTGGTATTACGAAATGGGAACAATCCAATAAGAGCCAGTTGAAGCTTCTGATACCCACAAGGTTTAAATCACTTTTGGCTTTTAAACACAGACAAAAATCACAGTGTTCATTTGTGTTGCAACTAGTTATAGACAGCCACTGTCAACAGACTCAAGCTCACATCAAGAATGGGTGTAACAGCATTTCTAACATCAAAGTATCACTGTTCCAAATTCCCTGATATCATACATTTTTTTTTACAAATTTTATAAAGCTTATAAAATCTGTAAAACTTGTATACAAAATATAGTACAAATATAGTTCCAAATATTCATTGACATGCATTAACATGGGTATTAAACTCTTTTCACAGTACCAAATAAGTTCAAACTATTGGTTACATAACAAAATTCAGATGAATACCAGCAAAAATGGGATATGCAACTACTACAATTTAAAAAATTTAGAAACAGCTGTCACCACTTAGAAGTTGAACAGCCAGTGGCTGTTAAGCAGAGGATGGCGGAGGGGGAGTGGGGGGAGGGGAGTAGACAGAATAACTGTAAAACTCTGATCCAAGCACCAGATCATTAAAATGGAAATGATGTCTTGGTTAGTTTCAGTGCTGCATGTCGTCTTGCTTAAATGTTTATACTGATAAGGTGTCAAAACACGGAGGTAACCTTTGTTCATGTAAAATATTAATTCAGCGTTCAATCAAGATGAATTGGAATTAAAATTTGGAGAAATCAGCATTCAAAATAGTTAACCGCTTCCTCCACGTTTAGACATCAAAATAGATTTTCAGATCTGCCTGTATTGACTCTAGCTCAGTCAAAACTTGCCAGATTCCTAATGCCGAAAATCTGCTAAGTTAGTTAAGTCAAAATCCATACAACTATTTCCTTCTCAGTCACATAATAGCAGCTCATCAAAAGAGTGCAGGTTCGCCTTGCTTTATCCCCTACAGAGGATCTGGTTTAGGCTTCCGTCTATACCATTACCCTTTATTTGTTGTTCCCTCCATCCTACCAGGCATTCCAAAGACTATTAATCTGCCGAGTCTGCCTGCTCTTTCAATAATGATGTTTGAGCAATTCAGCTGGACGGCTCTTGTGCATCAGACATGAAGCCAGAAAGATTCCAGAACAACACAGAATAGCTTTGTTATACTGGTAATTAAGACAGGACTGACATTCAAACAAGACCAGGACAGGATGTGGCAAATTACTGTATTCTTTGTGTGAAAAGCTGCTCCCACTACGGTTTGTCTGGCCTCCGGGGAACTCATCATCTTCACTAACAGTCAGAATGGGATTTTGTACCCTCTATTCCCTCAACAAACTTCACTCTAATACACATTTCTGATCCATGGCAATACTTGGGACGAGAACTTGCTAATTTGTAAAGTTGTGAAAAATGAAACCTCAGAGCTCGATTTCTATTGCACATTGTGGAACGTCACCTTTTGTTTAAATGCATTTTTATTGACATCTCCAAGGACAGCTTGTTCACTGGACGCAACACATACCTTGTACCTCTTTTTACAGCCAGGTACAGGGCAAGCAAATGGCTTCTCATCATCCCCATTCAAGCACATTGAGCTTAGAATAGTCTCGGAGCTGATAGCACTTTCTGTTGTCCATGATTCGTCACTGTCGGAATCCTCACATTCGATTTCCTCTTCATCTAATTCACTGCCTGGAAATCAAGAGAAAAAAAAAACAAGGGCAATGATGTAGGCACATTGAAGAGGTTTAAGATGATTTTTTTTTCAAAAAAAAAAGGATCTATATTTAGATAAATTGCTTTAATCCAAGAATCTTGTCCGATTCTCTCCTTTGCCTCTCCTTTGAAGCCATTATAGATAAATAGCATTCAAGACGACTCTCTCCGCTCATAGCAAACACACTTGTGTTTTCAACTGCCAAAGGCAGCCTGGGTAATTAGCCATTACAGTTCTGTCACAGAGGGTTCCACAGTCAATACAGAGATAATTTGGGCAATGGTGAATGACAGTGCTGTCCAGACTTTTGGGATGATCAAGGACACATCCAGCTGTACCAGACATCTGTCAGGGCCATGAATCATTTCAACTAGCAGCACAGTAACCAAGCAGCTGAAGCAAGAGCAAACATTCAACAAGCGCCACACACAGGAAAGAGAAATCCACAGTGAAGCGCAAGAGAAAAAAAAACGGTGAAACGCGAAAAAAAAAAGAAGCAGCAAACGATCTCTCCCCCCCACCCCCAAAAAAAATTTAGCACCGATTTTCACGTAAAACTGGAAAATTATCTACCGTCTTACAAAAGGTCAACAGAAACTAAAAAGTGCCAAATGTTAAGAGATGAAACCATCATCACATCTTCCACCTAAAATAGTTTCAATCTATTAAAGAAATAATAACCAAATTATCTGGAAAATCACCATTCTAAAGAACTTGTTACATACATTTCATAAAACTTTAGCATTTGATATTTCTGGACTTTAGTTATAACCAGTAAATAAATACTGGACACAATTGTAGTTTCTGTTTCATGCAATTGCTGATCCATGCAAGGTGCAAGCACTAAAAACAATTGTAAACCACTCATTTCACATCGTCCACGTATAATTCAGTTATGCGTGGATTGGAAAAGCATTGTTGCAAACAGTTTGCATCTAACTCACAAATTCATGCAGAATAAGCTTCATTAATATCTTATTGGTGGCCTAGTGTAGTAGAGTGTTAATACCAGTCAAATATGGAACTGAATCATCATCTTGTTCAGTCACAGAACTGTGCAAAGTGTCTGGTAACATTCCTCTTAATTAAACAACACATAGGGGCTCTTCCCGTTTTGCATATTCTAATGGTAGAACATTGATACTCATTATTTTCAGGCTTCAAACGCTAAAATCGAGCAAGAATGCATCCATCATAAGAAGGCAAATGATAGCAAAATTTTCAGTGGCATCAGCAAATTTTACATTTATAAATTCTATAAGTGACTTTTATTGGGTCGAATCATTTTTAAACAAAATCATGAGTTTGATGCTTTGTTGCACCTCTTAGCAGCCTTACCTAATGACAGTAATTAACAATCTGCAATTAGTATCCACTTCAGAAGGCATTCAAATGTTAATTTGCTTTCACTAATGTGCTGCACAGCTGTGCAACAAGATGCATGCCATGAATTGTACATTAAACTGTAAGTCTGATCTTTTGGCTCAAATCTTGCCTGGCAACATCAGGCACAGTGTATAAAAGGAGAACTTTCTACCAATACAAAGTTCTGGAAATAAACTCAATATCTAATACAAACGGGGACGCATAGTTACTCTGTTACACAACTAGTACCATTTACGTAAAACAGCTTTTATTGAAGATAAATGAATCATGAACATGACTAGTTGCATTCAATTTATGAATCACACAATCTGCACAGCAGAAGTTACACTCTTCAGAAAATCTAACTTACTATAATCTTACAGTACCTCATGTACAGCTTTGCGTGCAAGCATTTGTGGCTGCAACTCTCAGCATGGCGATCAGATTACAGCCATATTAAACATCTGTAGAGCAACACCAGGTTACCCCCAGGGCTTCCATCTGCCCCACACAGTGCACCTCCCTCCTGAACACTTTAACACAACCTTGTGTGGGACCAAAATGGACTGCTTTAAATTATCAGATTATGTAAAACATATTTATTAAACTGCTCCCTTCATGCTTTGGCTGTTGTGATTAATCAAGGCAGGTATCTGCAGTTTACTGAGCAGTTAATCTTCACTTTCTTCAAAATTAGTTAGGAATTTGTTGCAATTTTATGTGGAGAAGGAAAATAGTATGTGTTTTGCTAATTTAAACGTGCGAGATTAAATTTAATTGTTTTACAACAAAGAAGTAGCCTAAGCATTATTCAACTCGGTTTCATTGTTTTAAAAAAAATGCAAAATACAAATTAAAAATTGTTGTAATAACTTTATAAAATCTTACATAAGAACATTTCCCATCAAGGGCAACATGATTGTTTCTAAGCAGTTACTTGATGCTGCAATTTTTGGAAATAGTGGTTATTACTAGGGATTAACCCTTAATAAAACATATAAAGCGGTATGTATTCAATTAAAAATAGTACAAACCGACATTCTTTTGTGGTGGTAAAACTCCATCTCCCTACACCCGATTAAAAATAACTCGTGAATGTCAGAAGCAAACTGGTAAAACAGTACAATTTACATAGCTGCTTACTTTTTGAAATACCATATAATGTCCTTTAAATTTAACTCCATAAGTTTTTGAGGGCTCATGTCCCTTTATAACAATAAGTCCCGTCAAAATAAGATATGGTCCTTAACATATTTATCCTTTTTCCAATTCCATCCGTTGTATTACATTTTGCTTCTCCATTTAATTGTTTATACTTTTGGCTTAGATCCTATACTGTCTCTTGCTTGGTTTCTCACTCTTTCTAGTTCCACGTTGGGTTTGTATACAGGGAGCATAGCCAATCTAGTAATTCTAAGCAGGCAAAAGTTAAAGGTCACCTAATGACCAGATTTCTGCCAGCATGCTTCAGGCGCCATTCATAGCAAGCCAGGGTAGTTATTCAGTCCAAATGACTTTAGTAACCAAAATAAAATCACTAGTGTGTCATAATTTATGGCTACATAGTGCTATACTGCTGGTAGAGTTCAGTCACATTGATTTGGTTTTGAGGGAATCAAAGGGAGTTTTGTAGTTTATAATAATAATCCTTGCATTTGATATAACGCTTTTCACATCTTCTCTACGTCCCAAAGCGCTTCACAGAATAAACTATAAAGTGAATTGACTATATTTGTGGGCGAATGCGGCAGCCAATTGCGCACAGCAGTGTCCCACAAACAGTCATGGATTGAAAATGACCAATTCATTATTGTTTTGTTTTTTGGAGGGATTATTATCAGGCGTGTGGAGTAAGGAAACTTGCCCAAGGTTTCGCCCTCTGCCTGGAAATGAACTCAGGTCTCTCACTTGCAAAGCGAGTGCTCTAACCACTGAGCTACAGGACTCCGCGAGTTTGCAACTTCTAATCAATTTTCGATATTTCAGGAGAGAACGGCACTTATTTAAACGGTAAATGTTAATTCTAGTGTAATACACACTGTGCACATTTCAAACTCAATTTACACATTGTTCAAATATATTCATCGCTATTGTATTGAGAGCTTGCATAAATCTGAAAGTAAAACAATAACCTAACACAAATTGCTAAAAACTGCAAGGTAATTACAGTTCCATGAACGTTTCAATTTACAGAAGCTTGGAGCATTTTTGTATAAGATTATATACCTACCAGTTGGTGTACCACTACAGGCAGAAGAGGATGGTGTAACGGGTGGGGTTCCAGGAAATGCTGAGCTTCCATTGCCAGGATGAGGTGATGCGGGCGTTCCCCCTCTTCCCACAGGGCTGGAAAGGGCTGGGATCAACTTGGCCTGATGCTTTTTTCTCATCTGTTCACGTTCACGCCGAGCAGCATCAGTCATAAACCTGTATTAGTTCCAGGAATGAACACCAAAACAAAATCATAAGGGGAATTAAAATGGAATGGCTTACTGAGCCTGCAGACTGGGCTGAAAATTCCCAAATAGCTAGTTCCTACTTGTTGCTGGTCACTTTAAATATCAAAGCATTTAATGCATCTACAAATGGAGGTTAAACATGAAAGATCTTATTACAAGCCTGTGGGGGTGCTTCTCGTGTTACTGGTTAGCTCTGTGGGGACCACTACTTTCAAGGCAAGATGAAACAAAACAAGTTCGAGAAACCCTCATGAGCTATGTTCAAAGGCACTGATAAGTTCTGACTGGATTAGCATTTATTGACTGTTTAAGATCGTTTTTCTTTCTTGCCGGACTACAGCTGCAGTAAAGATAACTGGCTCACAAAACATAACTACCAAAATTCAAACTACTGTAAATTGTTCTATGCTTAATGCTTAACTGAGGACTATTCGGTTTCTAATGACAAAGCAAATTAAATAATGTTCGGATCTTATGAAACAACTAGTTTGCTTTGAACTGAAGGTTAAGCTGCTAGATCCATGCACAAAAAACACTTATTAAGGGTTTATGCTGAGATAGCGTTTTTGTATTGATTTTATGATACACAGGTATTATGATTTATGGAGTGGCCGTGTCAGTTTAACAAGCTGAAGGACACACAATATCTTCAACATCATTAAAATTCAGAAGCCTCTAGAGCTAACTTGCTACACTGTCATGCACTATATTTGGACAGCAGAGGTCCTAGGCTTATGGAATATCACCATTTTCTACAAAACTTCTTTTNAAAAAAAGGCTTTGTTCTCAGTTTAAGAATACACAAGAGAGAGAGAAACACCACTTGTAACTGGGAAGCTCCCTTATCCTTGTGAATAATCAAAATAATTTAGGATTTTAATATCAGAAAATCAACCTGAATCGATAAAGGATCATTCAGAGACGTCTATGGATTTATCAAGAGAAATAACGATACAATATAGTTCAACCCCACTGTTTAACTGGCAATATTTCACTACCTATACATACTTCGTGGAATTACCAATATCTTAACAATCACTTGGACTATTTACTATTAGTGTGCGAAATGTACAGAAGTAGATTAGAAATAAATAATTAAAAAGTTAACTATCCTACTGATTGATGCCTCTTTACAAATATGACATAATTAAAAATATATAACTAATATTAGCTGGAAACAGCTGCAAGCCGAGATGGGCCTAATAGTTATATTACTTCCTTCTCCCCATCCGATTTTTCATCCAGAATATTACTAGCCCCTATAAAACTATGTTCAGCCTAAACCAATCACTTTCAAAAACTGCTCTATAATCCAACACTGATCCACAAATAATCACCAGGAGGCAGAACCTAAAAGTTATGAAAATCGAGCACCACCTATTGTATTTTATCCCGACACCTTGCTATTGTGTGGGCCTCCATCTAGTGGCCCAGACAAGTCGATGCATTTGAGCAAATGACTGTCAGAAGTCTCAAGTGAAGATCTAATTCACAAGTACAGACCGGGAATACTGCGGTGACATTTTTGCACTGAGCTTCGACAATTAACGCTGAATATTGTTTCCAATCGTGAATTTTGTTCAAACAAAATAATTCTACGAGAAGTATTCTAAGCTCAATCAATTCATTCAACAACGAAATCTATTTTGAGCAACAGATAAAATTTGATTTCAACTCAGAAATCCCACGTTGAGAAGGCTTCTATTTCTTTCAGCACAAATTGTAGCAAAACTTTTTTAAAAAGCATCTGTAGTTCAGAATGTCCACAAAGTTAACTCATATAAAATAGATTTGGAACTCATTAAACTGAATTTTTTTTTAGTAGTGTTTGCTAATTTATATTACACTTTAATATGTTAATCAGAGATTTTACAAGCGCTAATTGTCTTCTGTAGTTTTGTTGAAAAGGGGCCACAACCGCAGTTACTTCAACAGTTGGATAAATATCATCTATCTAGCATATTAACATTCTCTAAATGTTTAGTAAGATTTAAAATTCTAAACCATTGCTAAACAATGAGATTTTTTTTAAAAAAAATAGGCTTTACAGAAAACTCAGAAATGATGAAAGACCATTCCTAGACAGATTATTTTATAATATAAATTCTGAACTTTTGAAATATGTCAAATCAAAAAGGTGACTTATAGTAATATTACCCAATTGGCAGCTATCACTGGGTGAAGAGATTTAAAAAGGAAAAAATGTTGCACATCACCACTCCCACCAGACAGCCTGCGACAATATTGGTATCTCCTGCCAACTAGCAGAATTGACCACAACATAAATGCCAAGGTGTTCCTATGGAGTTCTGGCCAGCCTACCCATGTCTGAACACTAATTATGTGCATGCAAACCTCCATAAACCTTAATCCCATTGAGTATGTGTATGCTCCTCAGGTCCAACTGTGACTTGGCATACCTCAGCGGACAGCTGGAGACTGGGAAAATGGGAAAACTGGCTGCACTGGGTCTTACGACACAATTTGTTTCTGCAACTGGCAATAGCCAATTAAGACGGTCTCCATCCAGCTACAACTTTTTTTCAAAATTGCAAATTCTATCTTTCTGAAAAAGGTGTAAAACACGAAGTTCCAGGTAGATTGTGAAATGTCAAGCAAAATGATTATGAAAAAGCATACAAAAAAAATTGTGGAAATATAGAGCTTAAAGATTTTTCTTCAAAATAATAAGTGCCAATTTGATTCCACTGCTGCCCATTGTTTCAGAATTACAGCTATTTGCCAAAATACCAAATTAGCATTGTAAACATTGAAATCAGGCACCTCACAATTCAACCTATGGCCCAATTTTCCCTTTGATCTTAGCTTAATCTCAATTCATCAATAATGTACACTTATTATGGGATTCTGACAGCAAGCTACAGCTTTTGATAAATTATACATCTCAAGCTAGATTTAAAATTTGAAGCGCAAGTGCTAATTATCTATACAGGCCTAGTTAATAACGAGATTTCTTGTTGAGTATCCGATCACAGCATGGGTGTCATTTGTCAAGAATGTTCAAGTCTACCTTAGAGACCAGTTTCTGTAATTCTCCCAAGCCTACCATATGTAAAATTGGGATCTTTGTTTCTATAATAACCTTTTATTAGGGAACTGACATAATGATTAAGTTCACTGAAGACACATACAATGAATTAAGTGATTACCCTTGCTGCTTTAAACTACTCAGGATCGTAGCAAGACAAAATAATTAATATTGAATTTTAATTTGATGTGTTCCACATTTAAACCCCAATTTGCAAAGTACACCTGGAAAGCTGCCACTGTTTAAGCTGATGAAAGAAAGGTTCCTGCAGTTTGAAGTACCAGAGCACAGAAGGCACAATGCACCATAACTGCTTCTCTATGGAGCAAAGAATATTCAAGCAATAATGGAGAAGGTAATTACTAAACCCTAACTTTATAGTCTTGCCACAATATGCACACAGGTCTTCAAATCTTATTGCATCAGTGATCCTACTTTTTTTTTCACCTCCCTCCCACACTTCACATCTCATCCCAAAAATAAACTACACAAAAAAGCATACCAACTTGTTTGGGAACATAATCAAATTCTCTGTTCTATAATTTAATGTTAATATGAGGAAATAGTTAAGATGATTAAATCATTATTTTACAATTATTAATCCAACATGTTTTTTTCTGAATACTTAATTGAGATTTGTGGATACACTAGTCGAAATCAATAGCTTACAATCCAAATTCATCTTAGAATTTTTTTTAAAGAAGACTATTCACAAACCGATCTAATAAAGAAGATTAATTGACACAATAATTTAAAGAAGCGGGAAGTAATGCTAGTATGCAGGTCTCCCTAATAAATGGTTAACAACCAGCTTACCATGCACCATCCTTATTTTGGCAGCCATTATAATAAAATGTTTTAAAGGACATGTAAAGGACTTTTCTTTTAAAATTGACCATTATTAGTTTTTTAAATTAAATCAGTATACATCTCAGTGTCAAAGAGAGAGGTTAAGTAGCTAGTGTATGATGGTACAAAATTCCTGCTACAGTTAAGATTTGGATTCTCAACTATATTTCTCAACGTGGCAAGTGGGGCAAAAAAGGCAAGGTACCCCTCCCCAAGGGAAAAGGGCTCAGTGACAAGTTATCCAGAGTGGCCAGTTAGACATAGGTCCTCCTTGGACACAAGGGGGCGCTTTGACTGGTGTGAGTGCTTGGTGGAGGTGGGGTGCGCATGCTCAGAGGCCTCGTAGATGCTTCTGGTCTATTGGAGAGTTTTTCATCCTATCCAGTCAGAGGATAGAGCAGGCAGCCTTCCAATAGACCAGAGTCCTCTGCGATGTATCTGAGCAAAGCTCATCGAACCTCCACCAAGTACCCACACCAGTCACAGGTTAAGGCGAAAGGCTTCTTCGATGCAAGAAGAAGCTTCTTCTTATGGGACGAGATATCTGATCAAATTTACATATTAAGTGGATCTGGATTTCTCACAGAGGAGCACTCACTTGATTCTCAGCTGAATTTACAAACTAAAGTTCATTGGATTGAAAGTGACGGCTCTTCGAAAAGAAATTTTTCAATAAATATTGGAATATATTCCTATACTATAAAGGAGAATCTTATTCTGCCAGAAAATATACAGTCAATTCATTTTACAGTATTTTCTGTGAAGTGCTTTTAGACTTTTCAAAGATGTGATAAGATTTTTTTATCATCGTTATTATTATAAGATGGTCCACTGGGTCCAATAGCTCAGATAATGGGTTTTATGCAAAACTCTTCAGATGCTGTCATCGTTTTCTGTGTAAGGGGTTGTCACTTGCTGTATATGTCCCTCATGAAGTGATGTTAGCAATGCTTGCTGTGCAGAGTGTGCATGTGCAAGAAGTGAAGTGATTGGTGACCCCAAATCAACCATTTTTTAAGTATAGGAAGGCCAGTCAGTCAGCACCAGAAGCTGGGTGTACCACACTTTTCGTACTATGAGCAACACAACCATATACCAGGGAAGGGGCATTAGAACAGGTTTCTACTTCGAAGATCCACTTCCATTTACTTTCTTTAACCTACTTTGTCTCCCAAGCAAGGCATGACAAGGTATACATCAGTTCTACTTTTAGTATATTCACAAAGGTTTCTCAATAGTTTCCATTTTTAAAATGTTTCCCTTGTGGCCACATACACTTGAAAAATTCGAATTTATGATAAAATCTGAAACTTATACCTGTTGATATAACTTAATGCGATATATGATGGCTGCTGCTGTTCTTGCCTTTCCAAAACCTTGGGATCACTTTCTGTCAAAAGAACATACCACAAAACAATTAATTCATTAACTAGAATGTTTTTGTTGGGCAACCAAGTAGCTCATAATAATACGCCAATTTCAAGATTTGAATCGACTCATCGGTTCAGAAAATAATGAAATCATTTTACCTGGAGTTTACCTCCACACAATACAGTTATACTGATAAATGAAGACATTGAAAATCCACTTCCATGTAATTTTATTTCCTTTGACCTACATTGTAGCCAGTTGCTTTAACCAAATTTGTTACCTCGCTTACAAATTTGATTCAAATTAAAAACAAGCTACTTTCTGCAAGTGCATAATTTACCAAAGTGCAATTCCAAAGTAATCAATGGAAGATTTTTCAACTCCATTACGTTGAACATAAAGGTTAATCAACAAGAGTTACTGTTTTTTCTGTTCACTCCTAGGAGCAAAACTATAATTATAGAAATTACAACATAGGATGAAGCCAATTGTCCATCGAACCTAAACTGGTGCTAACTATTGTAATGAATGAAAGATTTGTTCATTCATCAGAAAGGGCAATTAGTCCCAACATCATAGGCAGTCTCGTAGCTCGCATGTTGGATTTTTAAACTCTCGATTTAGGTTGAAAGCTCAGGTCATTGAAATGGACACTCAATATCCCCAGTCTTGGTCTGGAGAAAATCAAAGAAAAATCTCACAGACAAATTTCTCCTGACATTGAACAGAATAGGTTGACCAAACAAGCTATATCCAGATAGACTACCTAGCCCTTTCACCAAAACATGTGACTGGGGGAGGAGGGGGGAAGAAACATTTAAAAGATAATTAATTTCTGTGCATATGAAAATGATACTCCATTCAAACAAGCCTTTTTTCAAAATGCAATACTTAATTCAAAACTTCCTAAATGCAAGCATGAATAAGAGTATTTAAGACACTTTTTTTTAGTTAAATTAGTTTTTTTAAAACTTGTTCTTAGTTGGAAACAGACATTTATACAAGTTCTACTTAGTAACAGACATACTTAACCATTTATGCTGAAGCTTAAAGCATATAATTTAGTAGCCCATGTACATAATGTTCCCTTAAAACTCCAAAGGGTGGTCTGTTGTCAATCAAAGTAGTCCTCAACCGAACAAAAGGACCACATATTATATTGACAGGATGTCAGTCAAAATATCCCCATGTGTACTTTGCACTGAATAGCCTAAAGTCCCAAATGTTCCTTGAAATTGGCTCCCTCGTTAAGGGTCCTGGCCAACAATCTTGCAAATGAAATTGGTCATTCACTTAATAGCTGTTTTATGGGACATTGCTGTGTGCCACAAAATAATCAATTTTCAGTAAATCTTATGAAGCTCTAGGATACTTCCTCCCAACTTGCAAGGTGCTATATCAAATGCAAGGATAATGTTAAAAAACGTTGTTTTAAAAATCTGGATTGCTTATTAAATGTTGACACAAAATGCAATTTAGATTTGGCACCACCCACCAAGAAGAAACATTTGTGTTTAGAATTTAGTCACTTACAAGACAAAAAGCATATTAACCTTCCTATAATAAATTGGTCACTTCAATCCACGACTGTTTGTGTGACACTGCTGTGCGCAATTTGTCTGCCGCATTTCGCCCACAAATATACAGTTAATTCACTTTACAGTATATTCTGTGAAGGGCTTTGAGACGTCTAGACGGCGTGAAAATCACTATATCAAATACAAGTATTATCATTATGTAAATAGTAAAGACTTGAAAAGGGAAATCAAGTATCACCCGGAAGTCGCCAAATAGCTGAAAGGATGTTTCCACTCATTGCCATTATTGGGCTAACATTATTCTTCAATGATTAGTCCAGCCAAACAATCGGCCAATGACAGCAGGCAAAGTTCAAATTGTAGTTGTAGCAGGAATACCACATTCTTTCTGCGTAAGTGGTAAGTTTCTTCAGTAAATGTCATTACTTTTTTAAAAAATCTATAAATTATCCCCATCATAAGATTCATATTTATAGACTGCAAGTATTAACAAACCAAGAAATTTGCTGCAAGCTGAAAGAATATTCAGTTTAATAAGAAAAATCCTTGCCTAAAAGCTGATAGGCTAATGTTAATACTGGAACTATGTCTAGCAGAACTAGTTTCATTGACCTGATCTTCAAATATTCTATGTTTCATGTATAGCATTCAGCTGCATAATTTTATAGCATTAGCATCAATCATTTCATTCTCTTTTCTATAAATATATAGTTTATGTAAAACTCTTGATATAAGTTGCTCAATAATCATGCGTACTGGGTTTTACAGATGAAGCTCCTCGATATTTCTCTTGATGAAATATTTGCTGACTTCAATCACCTAAGGGACTTGTGTACTGATGAAGTCACTGATATGTGCCCCATTAGTCTCTATGGATTTCCCCTATCGTGCTTCTCACCTCGTTCTTGCCAATTAAGCAGACGAATTATGTATAATAGTTGGAGACACTTTTAGTCCTGAGTCCTAGTATGCAGTAGAAGCTTTGACAGAAAGATACTGGTGAATAATTAGAGTGATTTTTTTAAAGCCCTGGAAACTCTGTCTTTCTTCTGCTCTACTACCTATTTTTAACTGAATCTTCTCACCAAGAGCAATGAGCACTGTACTAAAAAAAACACCGCTGAAGCATCATGGCTTTGAATTTACAGTTGAAAATATATTATATATAAACCATTTAAGTATGTTAAGCAAACAGTAAAAAGGGTTCATTTCATGTTGATAAAGTCTGCTGTTCATAAGATATGGAGTCACAAAATTAAATTTGCCTTTAAAACCACTTTATTAGGCATGATCTGCAAGACTACCATTTCAAATAAATTCCCTAATGAAGTTAATTTATTACATACACATGCTATGGCTTGGACTATATAGGTTCGCACACCCACTACTGCCTTTGTTCTAGTTGCACGTTTGAAGCATTGAAAGTATTATACACACAGAATGCTTTGTGAATCAGACCACCTCAGTCTTTCACAATGCTTCTACCCGTCACTTATTTGCCTCTATAAACTGATAGCTGTTAGCTTGCGGATAAAAAAAAAATAAACAAACATCATATACAAAATACTGTTGCTCTCAGCAAACTTGAAGTTTCAGGCATTCCATATAAAACAATATGTCTATTCGGGTTTGGAATGCATGCCTTCAGTACTTAATTGATGGTTTGAACACCCCTTGCCAGTGAACGCCAACAAAACAGAATTAAAATTTCACAATTCAAATTTTAAAAAAGCTCCACAGTGATAAGATACCTGATCTTCGAAACATGCTACACCATATTTCACAAGCAAGAAGACCCATTGCAGCAGGATAAATTACTGTTTCTGTGAACAAAATGTACAATATGTAAATAAACAACCAATTTTGTCTAAAAGAAATCAACCAGAATTTAAGCAAAATTCACATCAGAATAAAATGTTTGAAACACATCAGTTTTCTGAAATACTGTAGTGGGTAAAGTACACTAGAATCCACTTGAGGCATTAGGTTAGATTTAAACTTCTCTGCTATTCGCTAAACTTTCAGAAACGAGTATTCATCTACTTTGACATCTTAACATCAATGTTGGTGTTTGGGCAAATATTATTTCCAACATTGAAACCTAAGTGCTCACATTCATTCATTGCTTTTGGTCCTCATTAAGGTGAAGGACATCAGTGCAGGGGAATGAAGCAGGATTCCAGTACCAGATTCAAGCACTATAATAATAATAATCCTTGCATTTGATATAGCGCTTTTCACGTCGGGAGGACATCCCAAAGCGCTTCACAGAACACACTGTAAAGTGAATTGACTGTATATTTGTGGGCGAACGCGGCAGCCAATTGCGCACAGCAATGTCCCACAAACAGTCGTAGATTGATGATGACCAATTTATTATTATTTTTTGTTTGTTTTTGGAGGGATTATTATTAGGCTCTGTGTGGAGTAAGGAAACTTGCCCAAGGTTTCGCCCTCTGCCTGGAATTGAACTCAGGACTCTCACTTGCAAAGCGAGTGGTCTAACCACTGAGCTACAGGACTCCACATATACAGGTCAGGTGTACAAGCTTCTCTCTTTCCTGCCCCAATTTCCAAAAACATTTCCACTACATTTACAAAAGTTCAAAAAAAGGCGATTCTCCTTTATCCTCAAAGGCAAGGATGTATAAACACGTCATGGCTACTTCCATCGTGGCACCACAATACAAGATGGTTAATATTCAATATTATTTATGAACATTATATGTAACGCAAACAATTTCAGTAGAGGCCATACCTCTACTTTTCGATTTCTACCTCTTGTCAACAAAAGATGGGTGAAAATACATAAATGATGCAATCGATGCCTATTTTGTATGGAATTAGACCCCTGAGAAAATGTTAAATTATGAAAATTGAAAGAAAACCAAAAATATAACAGTCGTCAATCAACAATGTCATGCAATATCCTCCTGTCCAATCCCACACTTTGCCTCAGGCCCAAAGACAGTGCTTACATCTTTCTACTGTGACCATTTTTAGAACTCTGAAGTTACAGAAATATCCATTTGCACAAAGCGAAGACCAATGTGTGTGAGTTTCAATATCTACCAAGGTTTGGAGCAATTTCCTACAGATCCTCAGTCCTTTTGAAACAATTCCAGTCAATGGGGATGGAACTGAATTGTGTGCAGCCAGCAGGAATGAGGAGAAGTAGTAAAGTTACCTACCTTAATATATAGTCTTCCTCATTCTTTCCATGCAGTTTATCCTCCAATACAATTGAATCAGGTCCATTATCCAATGGGGGTACTCAGGACACTGTCCCTTTTAAGAGTTCTCCCTTGTTGTAGTCTCATGAGTGCCAGGTTATCATCCCAGTTCCCATGCTGTATACAAGGCCAGATCTCGACTCCCTCACTTCTTTAATGGAGGCAGCTGCAGAGAAGAGCGTGTGTGAACAATGATGGAAAATTATCAAGCTCTATTCACTCCAAACCAGAGAATAAAGAAGAGGAAAAACATGGCAGGAGCCATGTATGTGGACCAAAATTTAAAGGAAAGAATGAGGAAGAACACAAGGCAATTTGTTTTTACTACATAGTTATTTTCCATATTTGAGTCTATCCCACAGTCGGGCCACAAAATAAGGGTGGGCTATTCAATAATTTGTTCTTAAAAAAATATTTGAGGAAGGAGTCAAAACAAAATATTTTCCCCAGCAGATAAAGCATAATGTATAAATTGTGAAGACTATACTAAGGGTAGCCTTTCAGGTGGTCTATTGAAACATTTGACATTGGCCAAAGAGAGGTCCATAAGACAGATTTTATTTTCTTACCAGGCAGTTCAACTATATGGCTTATAGAAAAATGTATTCATAATATTGTCTATTCAAAACTTGAGCAAGTGATGGGATACAGTTCAACAATCCACTTCATGCTAAGATCAGCTTAAATTCATATGCGAGGTGGCAAGAAAAAAATCAAATGCTTCCCTACAAGAAAATTAAAATCAAAGACACCACAAGTCACTATTGTACCTTTACTTGCAAATTCAAGGAGCTACATAAGCAGAGACCTGCATCAGTAGGATTTGTGTGGTAAAGGTAGGTGACCAGAAACAAAGAAAAAAAATTAGAGACGTGAGTATAGATGCACAGGAGTATAGATGTATCCATATAGCAATGGGGTCACTCAATGTTTTACCAGCAAAAGCAATCAGGTGTAATTTAACTTCTTTAGTATGTATGCAAGGACAAAGGGCAGTCAGTGTAAATCTAAATTTAGAAACCAAGTTGGTGGAAAACAATTAGGTACTATAATTTCTTGAGATAAATTAAATTCTAAACAATACACATTTCTGATGGAGCCCGACAACTGGTCTGTCTAAATCCTCCAGAATAGGATGACCAGAGTGGATTTTCTTAATACCAGAAAATCTCAAAATCTAGGAAATGTTTTCAAATTAAAGGCATAACTGTAATCCTCTGTAAACTGTAAACACGTGAAATCAGACAGAGGTCCAATCATCTATGAAGAGTTATATTATGTTCACACCCTACTGGTAAGGTAGCAACACTCTTCAATGCTGAAGAAGGAGGGGGGAAACAGGAGTCATTGCAGGGTTGCTTCAAATCACATTTAACCTAGGCATATAGGAATACAGGAATTGCCCCCAAATCAGTGTCACTTTGCTTTAAGAGATGGGCATCAGAACATTTACGAAATGATTGCTACTCAAGGATAGTTTGAGTTTCTTTCTCTTTGAACATCTTTGATCTTCTTTAAGTTTATTTTGATACAAAAGGCCAAAGGCTGCTAGCTTTACCCGGAAGACAAGTCGATCAGAGGCACTTGGCTTGATCTGTCTGAATAGCAGGATATGCTCATCAGCCTGCATGAGACTATCCAGGTACAACAGCAGGTTACGGACACAATTCATTCAGTACCGACTACAAATAGTATATTTGATTTGTTCATATAATCACCCTTTAACCATATGCTTTTTTTTAAAAAAAAGCTCAGTTCCTTAAAGTTCTTACCCTGAATAAGCAAGCAAACCTTCACCTGAATGTATTGGCATGCACACATTAAAAAAAACAATATTCAAACCCTCCTCAGATGTGAATGACTATACATTAAACCTTTCCTCCTTTGGAAAAGCCTCAAAGTTCCCAATACAATGTTTGTAGAATTCCAGAAAGTAATATCCAAGAAAAACCTCAGAGGAACTTTAAGAGGTCCATAATAATAATCCTTGCATTTGATATAGCATCTTCTAGACGTCTCAAAGAGCTTCACAGAATATACTGTAAAATGAATTGACTGTATATTTTGTGGGCGAAACACTGCAGCCAATTGTGCACAGCAGTGTCTCACGAACAGTCGTAGATTGAAGTGACCAATGTATTATTGTTTTTTTCTTCTTGAGGGATTATTATTAGACATATGTGTGAAGTAAGGAAACTTGCTGAAGGTTTCACCCTCCCGGGAATCGAACCCAGGTCTCTCACTTGCAAGGCGAGTGCTCTAACCACTGAGCTACAGGACTCCAATAGGTGTGAGATTTTGCAAAGGTGATGCAGGATCTAACACGCCATGCACATCTGCACACTTCCATTGTGATTTAGTTTGCTGAGGCTTCTTGGCAGTACACATGTTATATCTTATTCTATTGGAATACTAATGGGCAATTATGACCAATGTTTCTTTACAATACAAAAGGTGAATTTAGAGAGAGGGATTGAATGCAATACTTACCATCGAAAAGTAATAACAAAACCACCATAAAGCTAATAATCCTTTTAATTAAAAAACGAGGCTGTATCGAACCTTGTTGCAAATCACAAAAAGGATTTACAGTGAAACAGACACCCAAGCAATTACACTGATGATTAAAGGCTTAAGTAGAGAACAGAGATCAAAGCGCTCATCGTGTGCAATAAAATTCATATAGTTTTAAAGATTCAAATACTTTAGCGTGTGCTTTATTACATTCCATTTTAGGTGTACCCATGATAGCTGCAAATACCCTTTCCCTGTAGAAGGCACAATGAGAAACTGTAACAGCTGTTCCTGCAAAAGAGTGGTGCTTTACACACACATTGCTACCTCAGATACAGTAACATTTGAAATCAGCAAATAATGATGCCAATAAACTTTAAACCTGGACAATTAATGATCTCCAAGGATGGACAAGACAAATTTTAAAAAAAGTCAGAACAATACATTTACTGCTATTATAATCATTAAGATGGAATTATATCATGCAATTAAAATGGGGATATGGGAAAGATACTTGGGAGGGCTTTTTTGCATTCTTATATACAGCAGTAAAGAAAGTAATGAACTAGCTGCAGCTGTTAATCATTTCTCTTCAGGATATTTCATATTTGTAATTGCATTGTGTCACCTACAGAGGGTGTTAATCCCTATTAAAAATAGTGGGAGACATCTCACTTCAGCCATTATTGTACTACAAATTACTGGATACAGCAATACAGAAGCTGTCAGACAAGGTTAGTGAGAGATTGGGTGAGGAAATAGACCATTCAGCAATTCATCACAGTATAATCCACTACCTCTAAATTGAAACCTAAAAAAACAACATTAATATTCTAACAAGGTGATGTTGCCTTCAGTTGCAGCATTAGCTGAAAAAAAAGGACAAGTTTAAATAACTGCTGAAGTAAGCTGTATGCAGCAAGACAAATGTGCTGTACATTAACAAACATGTTTATTCTAAAAGCTATAGAAGCCATTTACTGAGCCATTTGTACAGTGCAACACTGACTGGATTTACAAACTGGTTTCTAACTCCAGTCATAATTTGTGAAATTTTATAAAGTTAAAATATTCTAACCATTCATAATCTCTGGTTTCTAAACAAAATAAATGTATTCATGATTGATAAGAGATATGGTATAATGAAATAGCTTATTGGATGAATAAAATGCAAAACTGAGTGAAGGTTTATCAATGTATCATTTGCAGATACAGAAAATCAAAACTCATCAGAGCTGAACATTTTAAATTAGGTTTGACCAACAAAAAAATACCCATCTGTAGAATAGCTTGCATAGTTATTAAAAATGCTGTAGTTAGGTTACCAGAATGATACTAGGGCCCAAGGGGTTAAATTATATGGATGGGTTGAATGAAGTTGGTTTATATTCCTTGGAGTTCAGAAGGTTGAAAGGTGATCTAATCAAGGTATCAAGGTGTTTAAAATGATAAAGGGACTTTTTTGGTCTGACACATGTGGAAACCCATCACAGAGTTCTATGCATCCCACTTACACATGGAAATTGCAGAGATTTTTATTGGAATGGAATGCACTCTCATTGGTACCTAATTCTGGAAAATATTAGGTGCAGGTTGGCAAGAGCTAAGGCTTGGGGACCCCCCCAGTGTGTGTGTTAGGATACTGCTGGAGTCTAACCAACTAAAACTGCATCACGTGCCATTCAGAGCACTGCCTGGCAAGCTAGGACCACCCTACCTGTTAGGGCTGTAGCTTGCAGGGTTATCGAGAGCTGAGTGGAAAGAGTCCTTGTCTCAAGTGACTGCTCTGCCCTTCCAAGACCTGCAAATGAGCCAGGCTGGCTGTGCTATTATCAACAGTGCCCTGAAAAACTGCAGACCTGCATGGCTCAGGAACCAAAATTCCTGAGACCTCCACGGAGGGTGGGCTCAATTGCCACATTCCATTGCCAAACAGAGTGAGAAAATGGCAGTGAGATGAAGGGTTTTCTCTACAAAAAAAATTCAGTTCTGCATAACGGATAAGAAACCACCCTTAATAGAAAATTTAAATTTCATTTTTCCTTTGTAATTTTGAACAGCTCAACGAGATTTGAAATATTCAACATTTTAGTTACTTATAACAACAATCTTCCAATGGCTTCAATTTTAGAGTTTCAAGGTTACCAACTTTTATGATAAATTTTATGTTCATTCAGAAATGCATAACATGACAAAATATATACTAAAAATGATATACAGCTTTACTTTCTCAAAACAGAAGCTACCTAAACACGTTTACCAAGACACTGACTCTTGGACCTAATTTTTTTTCTTTAAAAAGCAAGGAGTTTCAATTTAATGTGTACAATACAAATGCAAGGTTCAAAAGTAATTTAGGTCTACATCATTGGGTTAAGACCATCATTTATTCTTGATTCACAACCAGAACAAATGAAGTCAAATGATGGTGGCATTTTTAACTCGTTTGCATTATAGCTAAAGCAATGCTGCTCAGTGGAGTCTTCAAAAAAAATTAAGGTATAACACATTAAGCTGCAAATAAAAATCATCTTCTGTTTTTAACGGAAACCGTACTTACTGATTAGTGTTTTTGTGCATTTCAAAATAAGGCACCTATTTTTGGAAGCTGAATTATTCAATGTCACAGTCCTGATGCATTCCAGAATCGGT